GCATTTTTTCACTTACTGCCTCAGCCTAGGCTGTCTGTCTCTTGTCATTTAGTCCATGTTAGTATAAACATACATACATATAAACTACATATATTTACATTTATTTATATGTGTATGTACTTGTTTTTTTTTTTGGTGTGAGTATATGTAGTAGTAATAACGAAATATTTATACACAAAAGCAATGAGTAAAGAAAAATTGTTCTAGTTTTAATGAATGAATAGCTGTACATATGAATAAACTTAATAGGTTGGCACTTAATTAAGGAAAATAAACATAATGTTAATAAAATAGATTACTAGGAAGTTTTTGAAAAGTTGGAATTTTGATATATTACTAGTAGAGGATATAATAATAATAATATATAGATTTGGGAGTTGGTTTAAACATATCGTATTAACCAATTGGAGCAGTCTACTGTTTGAAAAAAACCATATGATTATTTGCAGTTTCCATTGCCAGTAAACATTTGATATGCAATTTTTTTCACCAAAGGGAGCCAAGCACTCTGATTATATGTTTGTTTGTGTTTTTCATATTTTGCATTTTTCTCTTTTTTATTTCCAAAACGAAACGTACATTTTCATTTTTTAATGAAAAGAAAAATACTAAAATTATAACACAAGTACCAACAAACAGAAAAAATAGGTCTGTTTAAATTTGGCCTCAATAAAGATGAAAACAAAGAGAAATAAAAAAAAATCAATCAATATTTTGATAAATTACAAAAAAACTAAAAACTATGTAAATGATTTTTAAACAGAAAACTATATTTGTACTTAACCACTCTAAAACTCTAGAGAACTACATTTCACACCCCGTTGGAAGAAAAAGTAATTTTCCAAAAAAAAAAATTAAAATTCCCTCATCATCATCATTTCGAATGATATTGATGATTGTTTGTATTTTTTTCCATTCCAAATGACTAATGATCGTGTGAAAAATAAATGTTAGTTTTTTTCACTAGTTTTTACTCTCTTACTTTTTCTCGAAAGAACCCTTTTCAAAAGATCATTTACTCTATAAATATTCTTAAGAATTCTTTTAATTTTTCATTTATTTAAACGTTTTTCTCTATCTTCCGTTTTCTTATATTATACTTATCATATCTTTTACAGGTAAACCTCAAATATTGTCTTAATGTATTTTCAGTTTTTTTTGTTTAAAAGAAAAATTTAAGGGAAATTTGAAATTATCACCCTTAAATTGAACGTTTTGGTGGCATTACTACCTGTTAGCTGTTCGTTTGAAGTAGTATTTGTAAATGTAACGAATTTATGTTAAAAACCTTAATGGCTTAAATAAAAGGTTTTTAATAACTAAAACTCAATTGACTTTTAAAAACTATTATCGAAAATTACTTGCTACAATAATTGTTTAATAGTTCTGAGTGCATTTGTCAGATAATGAAATTGTATTGTAATGGTGAGTTGTGAGAAAAGCAGTAGCTTAGCTTAGAAAGGCAGGGTGAAGTCAGCAAACGTTTATAACTTAAATTAAAAATTTTAATAATAATTTTATTTAAATTATGGAAATTAATGGTGACCTATTAAGAATTTTCTCTATAGATGAAAGGTTATAGTTTAGTCCATAGTCTGGTCTATAGTTTAGTCTATAGTCTAGTCTATAGTCTAATCTAGAGTCTAGTCTATAGTCTAATCTTGAGTATAGTCTAAAGTCTAGTCTTAAGTCTAGTCTAAGGTCTATTCTAAAGTCTAGTCTAAAGTCTAGTCTATAGTCCAGTCTATAGTCTAGTCTATAGTCTAGTCTATAGTCTAGTCTATAGTCCAGTCTATAGTCTAGTCTAGTTACTATAGTCTAGTCTATAGTCTAGTCTATAGTCTAGTCTATAGTCTAGTCTATAGTCTAGTCTATAGTCTAGTCTATAGTCTAGTCTATAGTCTAGTCTATAGTCTAGTCTAGTCTATAGTCTAGTCTATAGTCTAGTCTATAGTCTAGTCTATAGTCTAGTCTATAGTCTAGTCTATAGTCTAGTCTATAATCTAGTCTATAGTCTAGTCTATAGTCTAGTCTATAGTCTAGTCTATAATCTAGTCTATAGTCTAGTCTATAGTCTAGTCTATAGTCTAGTCTATAGTCTAGTCTATAGTCTAGTCTATAGTCTAGTCTATAGTCTAGTCTATAGTCTAGTCTATAATCTAGTCTATAGTCTAGTCTATAGTCTAGTCTATAGTCTAGTCTATAGTCTAGTCTATAGTCTAGTCTATAGTCTAGTCTATAATCTAGTCTATAGTCTAATCTATAATCTAGTCTATAGTCTAGTCTATAGTCTAGTCTACAGTCTAGTCTACAGTCTAGTCAATAATCTAGTCTATAGTCTAGTCTATAGTCTAGACTATAGTCTAATCTATAGTCTAGACTATAGTCTAATCTATAGTCTAGTCTATAGTCTAGACTATAGTCTAGTCTATAGTCTAGACTATAGTCTAGTCTATAGTCTAGACTATAGTCTAGTCTATAGTCTAGACTATAGTCTAGTCTATAGTCTAGACTATAGTCTAGTCTATAGTCTAGGCTATAGTCTAGACTATAGACTAGACTAGACTATAGACTGGACTATAGACTAGACTTTAGACTAGACTTTAGAATAGACTTTAGAATAGACTTTAGAATAGACTTTAGACTAGACTTAAGACTAGACTCTAGACTATACTCAAGATTAGACTATAGACTAGACTCTAGATTAGACTATAGGCTAGACTATAGACTAAACTATAACCTTTCATCTATAGAGAAAATTCTTAATAGGTCACCATTAATTTCCTATAATCTAGTCTATAGTCTAGTCTATAATCTAGTCTATAGTCTAGTCTATAGTCTAGTCTATAGTTAGTCTATAGTCTAGTCTATAGTCTAGTCTATAGTCTAGTCTATAGTCTAGTCTATAGTGTAGTCTATAGTGTAGTCTATAGTGTAGTCTATAGTCTAGTCTATAGTCTAGTCTATAGTCTAGTCTATAGTCCTAGTCTATAGTCTAGTCTATAGTCTAGTCCATAGTGTAGTCTATAGTCTAGTCTATAGTCTAGTCCATAGTCTAGTCTAGTCTATAGTCTAGTCTATAGTCTAGTCTATAGTCTAGTCTATAGTTTAGTCTATAGTCTAGTCTATAATCTAGTCTATAGTCTAGTCTATAGACTAGTCTATAGTCTAGTCTATAGTCTAGTCTATAGACTAGTCTATAGTCCTAGTCTATAGTCTAGTCTATAGTCTAGTCTATAGTCTAGTCTATAGTCTAGTCTATAGTCTAGTCGATAGTCTAGTCTATAGTCTAGTCTATAGTCTAGTCTATAGTCTAGTCTATAGTCTAGTCTATAGTCTAGTCTATAGTCTAGTCTATAGTCTAGTCATAGTCTAGTCTATAGTCTAGTCTATAGTCTAGTCTATAGTCTAGTCTATAGTCTAGTCTATAGTCTAGTCTATAGTCTAGTCTATAGTCTAGTCTATAGTCAGTCTATATCTAGTCTATAGTCTAGTCTATAGTCTAGTCTATAGTCTAGTCTATAGTCTAGTCTATAGTCTAGTCTATAGTCTAGTCATAGTCTAGTCTATAGTCTAGTCTATAGTCTAGTCTATAGTCTTGTCTAGTCTAGTCTCTAGTCTAGTCTATAGTCTAGTCTATAGTCTAGTCTATAGTCTAGTCTATAGTCTAGTCTATAGTCTAGTCTATAGTCTAGTCTATAGTCTAGTCTATAGTCTAGTCTATAGTCTAGTCTATAGTCTAGTCTATAGTCTAGTCTATAGTCTAGTCTATAGTCTAGTCTATAGTCTATAGTCTAGTCTATAGTCTAGTCTATAGTCTAGTCTATGTCTAGTCTATAGTCTAGTCTTAGTCTAGTCTATAGTCTAGTATAGTCTAGTCTATAGTCTAGTCTATAGTCTAGTCTATAGTCTAGTCTAGTCTAGTCTATAGTCTAGTCTATAGTCTAGTCTATGTCTAGTCTATAGTCTAGTCTATAGTCTAGTCTATAGTCTAGTCTATAGTCTAGTCTATAGTCCAGTCTATAGTCTAGTCTATAGTCTAGTCTATAGTCTAGTATATAGTCTAGTCTATATGTAGTCTATAGTGTAGTCTATAGTCTAGTCTATAGTCTAGTCTTTTCTAGTCTATAGTCTAGTCTATAGTCTAGTCTATAGTCTAGTCTATAGTCTAGTCTATAGTCTAGTCTATAGTCTAGTCTATAGTCTAGTCTATAGTCTAGTCTATAGTCTAGTCTATAGTCTAGTCTATAGTCTAGTCTATAGTCTAGTCTATAGTCTAGTCTATAGTCTAGTCTATAGTCTAGTCTATAGTCTAGTCTATAGTCTAGTCTATAGTCTAGTCTATAGTCTAGTCTATAGTCTAGTCTATAGTCTAGTCTATAGTCTAGTCTATAGTCTAGTCTATAGTCTAGTCTATAGTCTAGTCTATAGTCTAGTCTATAGTCTAGTCTATAGTCTAGTCTATAGTGTAGTATAGTCTAGTCTATAGTCTAGTCTATAGTCTAGTCTATAGTCTAGTCTATAGTCTAGTCTATAGTCTAGTCTATAGTGTAGTGTATAGTGTAGTCTATAGTCTGGTCTATAGTGTAGTCTATAGTGTAGTCTATAGTCTAGTCTATAGTCTAGTCTATAGTGTAGTGTATAGTGTAGTCTATAGTCTAGTCTATAGTGTAGTGTATAGTGTAGTCTATAGTCTGGTCTATAGTAGTCTATAGTGTAGTCTATAGTCTAGTCTATAGTCTAGTCTATAGTCTGGTCTATAGTGTAGTCTATGTAGTCTATAGTGTAGTCTATAGTGTAGTCTATAGTGTAGTCTATAGTCTAGTCTATAGTCTAGTCTATAGTCTAGTCTATAGTCTAGTCTATAGACTAGTCTATAGTCTAGTCTATGGTCTAGTCTATAGTCTAGTCTATAGTCTTGTCTATAGTCTAGTCTATAGTCTAGTCTATAGTCTAGTTTATAGTCTAGTCTATAGACTATAGACTAGGCTCTGAAATTCTACGTAAATTCAATAAAATACTTACTTCAAAAGCACAAAAAAGTTACATCAAATTCATTATGTAAAGCTTACCTAAAAAGAAAGAAAAAATAAATAAAGTAGTATAATTTTAAATGAAATTTTCAAAAAGTATATTAACGGATTTAATTGATTTCAATGTTATCAAGAACTCATATCATTAGCTATCGTATAATGAAATAAATTTTGCCGATTTTTTCGTGGAATAGATATTTTTATACAGAATTTTAGCTTTAATTAAAGATTGCGAATTTTAAATACAACTGATTGTTTTGAAATATAGTGTTTCAACCTTTTTCGGTAGATAACATACATATATTATAGATTTTAAAAATTTTATTAAAAATTCCCTTAAATCTCTAACATCTTCAGGCCCTGTTTTCTTCCTTTAAATTTATTTGTATGTTGGAGAGTTTTAATCTCTTAAATTTTGTTCTATTTTACTCTAACAAAAGTCAATTTTCTTAACACTTGTATAGTTACATTTAATATGTATGTATTTATAATAAATTTTCTTGTACAATTACATTCCTTTGTTTCTTAGATTATTGAAAATGACTTTTCAATTTTCTTTCAGGAGTTTTTCTGTAGGTGTGTACATTTCATTCTTTGTTTTCCTATAAAATTTTTTATTTGTTTAAAATATACATAGAAGATAAACAAGGAAAAATATAGAAAGAAAACGTTAGATAGTTTTTTCCAATTCTTAAGAAATTTTTTTTTCATTCTAGGAAAAGAAATGAACAGCAAATAATAATAAAATAAAAAAATGTTGAAAACCTTTCAAACAAACAATTTTTGTTTTAATAAAACATTATAAATGGGTTCACACTTAAAAATAAAACACATATCCATTCTATGAACTCTATAGTTAAAGAGGAATCGTACATTATATTTACATGTAAAGGTATTACTTCCGTTAAAGTTTTATGATTTTTTTAAGTTTATTTATTTTCACTATTTATTTTACGTGAGTCAAGTTTTCTAGTTTTTATAGTTTTACTTAGAATTTTATTCAAAAATTTATTAACTTTATATTTATAAATTGTTATAAAGTAATTTGTTTATTTAACATAATTGTTTACTACCTAATGGTTTATTTCTTTTTGTTTAATATTAAGAGAATTCTTGTTGTTGTTTTAGTTCAATTTTTTTTTTTTTTGATTTGCATTTTATAATTTAATTACTAATATTACGCTTAGATTAGCAACTTTTTATTTAAACAAAGAGCTCTTTTTTATAAACAATCAAATATTGACAGCAATTTTATTATTGCATAGACATTGACAGACAAAAGGACGGACGGGCGGGCGTGTGTTTATAATAAAAAAAGGAGAGGGGCTAGCATTAGACATATGTGGAGATAATAGGGTGTCTCGTTTAAAAGTTTATAGTCTATACTATAGATCAGTTAATAGTCTGGAATAAAGATCTGTCTATAGTCTTGACTATAGTTCAGTCTGTAGTCTTTAATATAGATCTGTCTATAGTCTTTACTATAGATCAGTCTGCAGCCTAACTATAGATCTGTCTATAGTCTTGACTGCAGATCATTCTATAGCCTAAACTATAGATCAGTCTATAGTCTCGACTGTAGAGCAATCTATAGCCCTTACTATTGAGTATAGATCAGTCTATAGTCTATACTATAGATCAGTCTATAGTCTATACTATAGATCAGTCTATAGTCTATACTGTAGATCAGTCTACATTCTTAACTATAGATCAGTCTACGGTCTTGACTATAGATCAGTCTATAGTCTTGAATATAGATCAGTCTACAATCTTGACTATAGATCAGTCGAAAGTCTTGACTATAGATCAGTCTATAGTCCTAATTATAGATTTGTCTAAGTATTGACTATAGAACAGTTTATAGTCTTAGACTATAGATCAGTCTATAGTCTTCACTACAGAACAGTTTATTGTCTTGACTATAGATCAGTCTATAGTCTTTACTATAGACCACTCCACAGTATGAAGTATAGATCAATATATATTCTGGACTATAGATCAGTATATAGTATTGACTGTCATTTTATAGTCTTAACAATAGATCAGTTTATAGTCTTAACTGTCGATTAGTCTATAGTTTTGACTATAGATCAGTCTATAATATTGACTATAGATCAATATATAGTCTTGACTACAGATCATTCTATAGTCTTGACTATAGATCAGTCTATTGTCTATTGACTATAGATCGGTATATGTTCTTGATTATAGATCAGTCTATAGCCTTGCAGTCTATAGTCTTGACTAAAGATCAGTATATAGTCTTGACTATAGATCAGTCTATTGTCTTGACTTTAGATCAGTACATAGTTTTGACTACAGGTCAGTTATTAGTCTTGCCTATAGATCAGTCCATAGTCTTGATTATAGATCGGTCTATACTCTTGATTACAGATAAGTCTATACTCTTGACTATAGATCAGTCTATACTCTTGACTTTAGATCAGTCTATAGTTCTGACTACAGATCAGTAAATACTCTTGACAATAGATCAGTCTATAGTCTTGGCTAGAGATCAGTCTAAACTCTTGACTATAGATCAGTCTATACCCTTGACTATAGATCAGTCTATACTCTTGCCTATAGATCAGTCTATAATCTTGACTATAGATGAGTCTATAACTTTGGATATAGATTCGTCTGTAGTCTTGACTATAAATCAGTCTATACTCTTGACTTTAGATCAGACTATAGTCTTGACTATAGATTAGTAAATAGTCTTGCCTGCAGATCGGTCTATAATCATGTCAGTAAAGTTCTCAAAATGTTGAGTTAATTTTCTTTTGTTTCCTTGCCCCGTTTTTTTATTTCTTTTCTGCTCACCCTAACAAAATTCTCTACACTTTCAAAAAGAGTCTAAAGTTCTTTTCAGTTTTTGCTAAATGTTTATAAATTGTCTTGATTTTGTTTATAGATTTGTTACTCTCGTATTTTTATATTATTTCTAATTTTTTTTTCTACTTCTTCTTCTGCTCGTTTATAGTTTCAAAATTGAATGTTTAAATAAATTTATTCTTGTAGTAGTTGTTGTTGTAATTAAATAAACATTGTTTCTTGCAATGTATTACATGTGTTAGAATGAAAACATATTTAAATTTTATATAGTTTTTTTTTTAAATTTTCTAAACAATAGCAAATCTAAACGATTATGATGGAGCAACAATTTAAATTTTTAATTTCAATTTATAACAAAAAAATAATTTATAATTATAAATAAAAACAAAAATGATTGACATTATGTCTAGATTATTTATAGAGAAATGATTTGTGAGATAATTTTTGGTGCAGGGAATAGAAGAAAATTAAATTTTTTATTTATAAATTTAATACAAAGTATTTAATTGCTGTTTTAAGCAAAATTAGTTAGTAAATAATTTTTTAAATTTATTTTGACAGTTTTATGATAATTTTAATCGGGAGTTAAAAATTGAAAAAAAAATGGGATTTAGGTTTTAAAGGGATATTACACTTGGGTGTGAAATTTTTTAATATAAACTGCAGTTTTTTGTGTTTTTAAACACAATTGTTTATTTAACAAAATAATATAAATTTAACAAAAAAATTATCTTATCTTTGAGCCCAAGAAATGTTTTATTTTCCTGTGTATTTTTTATTTTTCTTTTGAAAATGATAGAAATAGTAAAGTTAACAAGACCATACAAAACAAATATTTATAAACTGCATTTAGCACATAAATTTAATCAAGTCTTTTTCTACAAAAAATTAATGATAAGATATAATTTCATTTAACAGCAAATTGTTGTAAATAAATACATTTTTTTTTTAACTAAAATGTTAAAAATTTTTAAATAATTATAAAAACTATTAAGAGATTTAAGAAAAAAATATTCAAAAAATAGTCACGAGTTATATATTTATAATTTAAATAGAAAAATTAAATAATAATGAGTATTATGTTATAAAATGTTATTTATTTTGTTAATAATATTAACAATTTTGTAATAAAATGGGAATTACACCATTGCCACAATAAAAATAAAGTCTACAAAATAAACTCTTATAAACAGATAAAATTTTACATCAAAATTTGCTAAATTTTGATTGCACCAAAAAAGTTCTATACCTGCTTTATCCTAACACTTCTCACCCCCTCTAAATGTTTATGTGGAAATCGTGTAATCTTCTGTACAGCCAACAAATTATAACACAATATTGTTAAAATTCTCAGTTTGATTTTATTTCTTTCACAAATATTTGCTTAATTTAAATAAATAGAAAAAATAAATAAATTGTAACATTTTTATTTGCATTTTTTTCTCAGTTTTTACGTTTATTTGGGTATGTGTGTGTTAAATTTTAATACAACAAGATTCAAGATTACAAATTATTTATTTTGTTATATTTTGTAAATATTTTTCTTTGTGAGAAAAACAAATAGATTTTTGATTTGTGATAAATCTTTCAGATTTTAAACAAAGTTGTTAAATAGATTTAACGCCATGATTGAGTTTATGGGGCAAGAAAATGGAAATTTTAAAACAAAATTTATAAAATTTTGTCGCTATATTACTATTTATAGAAAATTTTATCTTAATTTGTTTAGGAAATTATGTCTCGGCATATATTTCCGTAAAAAATTTGGCATAAATTTCTATAGAAAATTTTGTCTTGAGATAAATTTATTTAAAAAATTTTATCATAACATAAATTTCTGGACATATATTTCTTTATCTCGAAATCAATTTTTCTATAGACAATTTTATCTATTGAAATAAATTTCAAAAACAAATTTTCCAAAAAAAATTTTGTTGACATAAATCTCTTTAAACAATTTTGTCTTAACATTAATGTCAGGACATAAATCTCTTTATCTTAAAATCAACTTTCTATAGACCATTTTATCTATTGAAATAAATTTCTAAAAAAAAAATTTCATTATTTTGTCTTGACATAAATATCCAATAGAAAATTTTATCTTGACAATAATTTTCTTTAGAAAATTTGGCTTTGACATTAATTTTCTATAGATAATTGTATCTTGACATCAAATCACAAACATTAATTTTCTATATAAAATA